CTCTCGACAGGGCTAATTAAAGCTGTGACCAGGCACAGGCACATACACACTCAAACACAGCTGAAACCGAGGGAGTTCAGTATAGCTGCAATTTGTGATCGTTNAGGCACAGGCACATACACACTCAAACACAGCTGAAACCGAGGGAGTTCAGTATAGCTGCAATTTGTGATCGTCCATTTCGTTTAATTGAACTTAATTGAAAATAAGGTCCTTGTAGTTGTGTATCAGGTAAACCATGCTAACTCGGCAGTTGGTAGTTGAGCGAACCACAGTGGCGCGATCGGCGCGCTCAAAGTTACTCTTCACCTGAGGAGTAGAAAATGAAACAATGTGATAGCTGGAGGAGGAGAATAGGCGCAACGNCCATTTCGTTTAATTGAACTTAATTGAAAATAAGGTCCTTGTAGTTGTGTATCAGGTAAACCATGCTAACTCGGCAGTTGGTAGTTGAGCGAACCACAGTGGCGCGATCGGCGCGCTCAAAGTTACTCTTCACCTGAGGAGTAGAAAATGAAACAATGTGATAGCTGGAGGAGGAGAATAGGCGCAACGGAACTTGCCATTTCAAAGTATTTGCCATCACTCAGACATAGGCATCGCAAACGAAGACACTTCATCCGAGCAGCGTCTTTGAATGTGGTAATGAGAAAAATAGTTGTGGTTTTAAGAAGAGTGCAGTTTACACTTGAAATACTCACCAATTGCTTTGTTGCTTCGATCTGAAAACCGCAGCGTTTCTGGATCCCACCTAATTTCGATCCGCTCAATGTTTGGACAGTTGTTGGCAATTGAATCAATCAGAGAGTCAATATGTATTTTCTGGTGAATTTTCTGGCAACAGCCTTCCGGCATTCCAATGACCAAGATTCTGTAGTGTAGAAAGGATGTGTAACCAGCAGTCGTACATAAGTATAAATCTACAACTTACTTAATGTTGCGAAGAGAAGGAAGCACAGTAGTCCAAAAGGTTTCGGTCAAGTGAGGAATACCCGAGAGCTGAAGTCCTCTCAACATGGGCGCTTGCATTTTAAGGAAACGCAGCAAAATGTCTTCTGACAGGTTCTCATTTCGGTCCAGGTCGATTGCAATGAGAGACTTGGGGTTGCCGTTTTCCATGTACTCTTTGAGCACTACATCGGTGAAGCAGTCAAGCTGACCGGCACTGAGGTAGCGTAAAGAGGGGATTCGGTAGAGCACATTGATCAGACATTCTGTGGAGAGCTCAGTGGCGGTAATGTCCAACTCGAGGAGAGATGTTTTCTCCCACTCAACAGCCATCATGTGCTCATTGTGAAGACCTGTGCGACAAAAGAGGCCATTGGTTAGTCGCCCTAAGATTCAATTGTACCCACCCGTATGCTGCATCATCAGGCATCGCAACCGTTTGCATCGGCCAAAGAGTGTTCGNAAGACCTGTGCGACAAAAGAGGCCATTGGTTAGTCGCCTTAAGATTCAATTGTACCCACCAGTATGCTGCATCATCAGGCATCGCAACCGTTTGCATCGGCCAAAGAGTGTTCTGAGGACACTGCCAGTGAACTTGGAGCAAAAGTTCAAAGCCAAACACTCCAGTTGAATGCAATTGCTGCTGAGTGATTCGACGTGGCTGTCGTCGACAAAGTTAATTCCGAACAAGTTTACGACGCGCAAGTTTGGAACAGCACTTTTCAGCTTGTGAATATTGACCACTTCGTAGATTTCCTCCTCCTCGTCTTCGACTGCTTTTTCGTACGTGCCAATTAAATGCAAAACCTCTAGGCCATTGATAAAGTTGTAGATCTTTCGCATAAAGCCCTCCATGAAGATGACCTCTGACAGGCAAATGCACATGGTCCGCAGCTTTGTAGGAAATGAGTGCAAGTCATTAAAGTCATGCAACTGCATAGCCGTGGAGAAATCGAGTAACATGTTGGTCAAATTGGGACACTTGTTGGCTAATTCGTGCAGCACCGTATGGGTGATCAGCTCAATGGGCAGCTCAATGTACCGAAGAGAAGGCCCTGTACGGGAGAAATATCGTTAATAAATGTACTGAAAAGTAAAGCCACTGTACTTACCGAAACGCATTGTAATGAGTGCTAGAAGAGTCTCTAAACTTGTAACGTGAAGACCTGAAACTTCTGGTCTCAACGAGACATGTGTCCACAACCGAGAATCGCACGAGATCATCCGCCATTTTCGGCATACCCGCGACAGGCGCCCAATTTCGCGATGAGGCAAATAGGAAAATATTTTTAGCAATATTTTATCGGGAAGCCGGTCAAGGGTCTTAAGAAAAGGGTAAAGAATAGGTCAAGTAGAATGGTTTCACAACAATCCTACCGAAATGTGGTAGCCAGAGCGAGCCTGAGCATGATTTCCATGATTGGATTCTTTGATGTTGGCTAATGCCGCAGAGGACACGTCCTGCGTTACTGCCCACATGTCTAGTCTGCAATGAAGAGTAGTCTGTCTTTGAGATACTAAAGTTCGTTCGGAGGAATTCACTCGACACTCACTCGGCAGACGCTCAAAGGAGAATGCTATAAATAAACTTGGCACACTTTACTCTGAATTGTCTATGACTGTGATGCAGATATTCTTCGCTACTAAAGGCAGGTCTATAAATTCAACACGGAAGCACTCGCACACAAAAATTGCAGAGAAATTGCCAACAGACGATAACGGGTACCGAAACTGTTTGAGGCGCATGTGTAATTTTAAGCAATGATAAGGGGTAGATTGAGTTGAGGTTACTGATCCAGAAACCAATTATCAAATTGCGATGGGCATTTCGAATGGCAATTCTAGCAAAAGCTATATCTACAGTCACAGCTGCTTGATCCAAACAGTTTGTTTACATATTTGTTTTGCTTTTGGAGTTTGGAAAATACACAAAACAACCATGAACGCTCCATCTAAAGCAGTGTCTGAAATAATTCGCAGTAAAGATGCGGTTGAAACTAAAAAACAAAGTAGAGAAGACTACAAAAAGGCCAAAGAACTTGAAGAGGCCCGTAAGGCCGGAACAGCGCCCGCTGAGGTAGATGAAGAAGGAAAGTAAGTGCTTTGTCTCGGAAGTTTTGCCGATTTCAAACTTTTTATTTTACAGAGACATCAACCCGCACATTCCTCAGTACATTAGTAGCACCCCGTGGTATTATGGCTCACAAGGTCCCACCTTGAAACATCAACGAGCTCCGGAAGAGAAGGTCAAGCCCGCGGCTAGTCTCAATGAGTACTTTGTACGAGGACAAAAGGGCAAGACTGCTACAAAGTTTCGAAAGGGTGCCTGTGAAAACTGCGGCGCAATGACACACAAGAGAAAAGACTGCCTAGAACGGCCCCGAAAAGTGGGCGCAAAGTTCAGTGGCGAAGACATTGCCGCCGATGAACTTATCCTTCCCAAGCTTCAGCACGATTTTGACGGCAAACGAGACCGATGGAATGGCTACGATCCAATGATGTACCGCTCGGTGATTGAGGAGCACGCCAAGGTGGAGGAAGCGAAGCGACTGCTGAAAGAGGAGAAGCTGCAGCAGCAGGATTTAATCAGCAATGACGACGCCCCTGGTGACTCTGACGAGGATGAGGACGAAAAGTACGCTGATCATATCGACATGCCCGGCACCAAGGTGGACAGTAAACAGCGAATCACAGTGCGAAACTTGCGCATTCGAGAGGACACCGCCAAGTACTTGCGCAACCTCGACCTGGAGTCAGCGTACTACGACCCAAAGACTCGATCGATGCGAGACAATCCGTACCGGGAGACGGGAAAGACACCGGCGGAGCTGCAGTACGCTGGCGACAACTTTGTTCGCTACACTGGTGACACCCAGAAGGTTTCCAAAGCGCAGCTTTTCTCCTGGGAGCTGACCGACAAGGGCGTCGATGTGCACCTGCAGGCAGAACCGACCAAGGCTGAGCTGATAAACAAGGAGTTTGACTCGAAGAAGGAGGACATTAAGGAGACGATCAAAGAGAGCATCCTCAGCAAGTACGGCGGCAAGGAGTACCTGCAAGCGCAGCCAAAGGAGCTCATTTTTGCGCAGACAGAAGACTACGTGGAGTACTCCAGGACGGGANAGGAGTACCTGCAAGCGCAGCCAAAGGAGCTCATTTTTGCGCAGACAGAAGACTACGTGGAGTACTCCCGGACGGGGAAGATTATCAAGGGCGAGAAAAGGGCGCCCATTAAGTCAGTGTATCGGGAAGACGTCTTCATCAACAATCACACCACAGTTTGGGGCTCATTCTGGAAGGCCGGCAAGTGGGGATACAAGTGCTGTCATTCTTTTGTTCGCAACTCCTACTGCACGGGAACACTGGGCCAAAAGGTAATAGACGGTGCTAACTATTTTATCGAATCTAACAAGCTTTTTTGCAGACCAATGAGACAAATAATGTCCTTCTTTCGCATGACGCTCAAGAGGCAGATAATGAACAAGGTGATGATGACAATGCCAACATGTCATTGCTGGAACAACACATGGAAAAGAAGAAGAAAGACAAGAAAAGCAAAAAGTCAAAACAGAAGGCTGAAAAGGACGCTGATGACAGCATTGATCAGGAGAAGCTTAAAGTGGCACTGCAGAAGGAGGAGGAAAGCAAAAAGAATGCCGAAAAGCTTCTTCAGATGGACGAGCGAAAACGGTCGTACCACTCCAACTACGATGAGGGACCTATCACTAACGAGGAGATTGAGGCGTATCAACTAAAGAGACAGAGAAGCGAAGATCCAATGTCGGCTTTTATGAAATAGATTTGATTTTGTTTCTGCTAGTATTTACCCTAAGTATTTTGGAATACAATAAAAATGGCTGACAACCGTAAGTACAATCAGTTTAGACATTTTGACAGAATCATAATTTATTGAGCCTTTCTAAGTAGGTCCTTTCAGTCTCGCCAGGATTAAGCCTGCGACGAGCCACTGCTGGCAGTGTCGACTGTCACCCACAAGTGTCACTAGACTATCGCTATTGCCCTCCTTATAACTTGCCTAATTGTGAAATCAGACCTTGCCCGTCTGCCACCACCAGATCTGGCATTCAGTGTTGGCTGTGTCTGCAGGGCAGAAGAGAATCCATATGAGTTTCCCTTGTTTTTTGTCGGCAAAGTTGGCCCCTCTCTCTCTCTCTCTCTCTCTCTCCAGTGTTTTCTAGTGCAGTTCTTTGCAGTAGTGAATGTCATCAGAAACTGACATTTGTCGGACCATCGGTGCCGCTCCAGCCCAGTGAACTATGACCAGTGGGAAGACGAAGCACTTCTCCAGCCAGTGTCAGTGTGCAGCCCTTTGACATTGGTGGCAAATGTGGCTGAAATGAAGGCTGCCAAAGTGCCACCCCCTCACTGCTGCCATATGTGCGCCTCAGTGCCAGTCTGCCGTCGCCCGTTGGCCGCGGAGAGACGCAAAGACGCGTCTTGGAGACACACATGCAACAGTCAGTGCTCCTCAGTGAGAAGAATTGAATTTCATTGAGTGGACAAGTCTCAACGGCTGCGACCACCGTGGGCAACGTCGATAAGCGACGACCCCACTGTCCTGCCAGTCCTGCCTGCCTGCCGCACTGTCTGTTTGCCTGGCCTGGCCTTAACTTGTCTCCAGTTGAAGGCCAGTTCTGTTGATTCCTGCTGGACTCACTCACTCACTCATTCACTCACTCACTGTCCCCAACACTGTCTGTCCGTCCCCTTCGACCAGGTCAGCCACTGTCTCGATTGTTAGTCAGTGTGAATGTCCGCTAGTAAAACCGTTCGCTGTGGCTCCTCTTCTCCGAACTGTGCACTGTCCACTTGGATCCCATCACGAATTGCCGCCAATTGCTCGCTGTGTCGCCCAGTCTGTCAGTTGGCTGGTGAGAATGCTCGATTGCCTGAAAATATGTGGTAACACGCTGGAGATCTCCAACCAAGAGATGAGCACCATGGTTCACGCCGACAGCAGCATGATCAGCAACGACTGCGAAAATGGCACCGCCATGATTCTCCACGATGATGAGCTGGAGGAGAAGAAGCTACACAACAGCAACTCGCATCGCAAGGCGGAGAAAGTCAAGAAGCTGAAGAAACAGGAAGTGAAGAGCAACTACGCAAGGTAAGCCGACTTGAGAATGTCTGATTCACTTCACTAGTCACTGGCTTGGGTGTCAATGACTACTGCCAGCAGAGATAGAGGCAGCGGCAGAGCAGTAGATATCAGTGGCAAGTGGGAGGCCATCAAAAGACAATTACCAATCAATGGTATAATAGTGGAATTGCTGGCGCCATAATTAGCTCTCTCCTCTCTCAGTCATGTTCTCTCCCTTTCTGCTTCTCCATTGAATTGAATCTGACACTGGAGGTGCCGGCGTCCATGGTCGTTGCTTGTTGACAACAACAGGAGCAGCAGCAACAGGAGCAGCAACAATTGAACACATCTCACACACTGAGCCTTGCAGATCGTAACAGTTTGGTGGCGGCGGTGATTTAATCGATTACCAAGTCAGCCCACTGTTTCGCCTGTGCGAGCAAAGTTTGCAGCTGTGCAGCGAGTGTCCGAACAGTAGCAGTAGTTCACTAAATGCTGGTAATTGCCCTCCAGTGAGTAGTCCACTGACCAGTGTGAGGACATTGCGCACTAATTATACTGTTTTCCACTGCCCAAACTTGAACACTTTCATCACATCTTTGTCATTTGAACGCAAAAAGTGCAGTCTAGCGGCATTTTTATTTATATGCAAATTAGCGAAGTAAAGGTCGATTTATCAACTGGTCACTGTTGGCTACTTGGTGAACAGTGGCAAAGCAGTGCTACACTTGCTCGCCAGAACAGTGGTATAGGCATTGCCAGATTGTTTTAGAGTCGGAAATAAACGAACAGTGAAACGCAAGTCTTCTTCAACGAAAATGCTGCACAGAATCGAAATTATTTTTTTAATTAAAAACCGAAACAATCGGTTCGTCTAAACGGCCTCTGTTTTTTGCAACAGCAAGAGCAGAGTTACCGGTTGAAACAACATACACACTTTGTTTGGTTGCTGTTGCCTTCTTGCCCACGCGAGCCCACCAAGCTCAATAGTCTGTCATTGAATCCTCTTGCCGATATCGCTTTAATTGACAAGATCTATTGTCACTATACGCTTGACTTTCATTGAAAGTAATTCATGGCACTCAGGACAAGGCGACGAATGCGAGTCAATGTAACTGAACATTCGAACATTCGTGTTCTGCTTGCTCACATCACTTGATTGGCTCTACTTAACAAATGTAACTGAATCATCGTCTTTGAGAAGTGCAGCTTCCGTACTGTGTTGATCGTAGGCACTTTCTAATACCCAGTAATCGGTTGGGATACAAATAAAAGTGAACAGGTGAGCGAGCAGCATAATGAAGCGTCAGTCTCGCCATCGCCAGTGCTTGCACTGCCTGTCGAGAAGGCATCCAGTATTTCCCACTGAACTCTTTGGCCACAACTGCTACACCTCGTCAGGGTTTGCTGGTGGTCAGCTAATCCAATTCTCCTGCAGCACAGCACCACCGGCAGAGCAATGGTGGCTAGTCTTGGGTGCAATCGTCGCTCCATCCATCCACTCTGTCGCGTTCGCACTTTCGATTTCCATTGTTGCTGCTATTTTCTGCTGTTCGCTAATTTAGTCTCTCTGTCAGCCCACAAACGGCGACAGAGAGCAGAAAGCAGCCTGTGCATTACGATTTCCGCTGAAGGACAGCCGCGAAAGTGTCTCTCTTTCTCTTTTCAGCACGTATTTTTGTCTTATTCAAGTGATATAATTTACAGTCGTCGTCGTGAGTTCAAACGAATAATATGACCGAAAGACATAAGAAGTCAAAAAGCGCGCGCCAAAAGTCCATTGCGCGACTACCGTTATTCTTCACGAATTTCTCCAGATATCAGACCAATTCGATCTGTCACATGCTGGCTACGGTTATTTCTGTTCAGTTTTTCCACCTCTTTTGAACACCGCTGGCGCCAACAGCATCTACTAATTCAGCACAGTGGGTTTCGATTAAGCATGCAGTCACCATGTAAAGGGGCACTTTGTACATCGAACCCAACCACAACATCTGGCCAGTGTTGCCCTACGCATCACTGCTCCCACCGAAATCTGGCTCGAACCCAGTCAGAGTCTTCGGGCACTCTCCGAGCTTCGAGCACCTGTTCGCTCATCTCCTCGCCAGTTCGCTCCTTCCTGGACAATCCGTTCTCTAAGGAATGGAGCGCCTGCAGTACTCCAACTAGTCCAGTCCACGGTCTTTCTGCTAGCTCCAATGGCCTCTCCGTCGTGACGAGCGCCAGTTCTCTGGTCTTCTCGGACACTTCTCATAACCTTCCAAAAAATTTCAAGTGCGTCTTTTACATTGTGATTCGGGTGTTTTGCTGTGTGACTCTATGACCGTTCAACTTTGTTATGCAGTGAATGGAATCAGCAATTTATTTTTACATGTATTACTTTCTCTTTTAGGACTGCCGCCTTCATCGTCACATCATCATTATATTTGCAGCTACTTGTGGCAGTTTGCATTGCCCTTTTTGCGGCCAATTTTGTCACTCCACAATATCCTTACAAGTTCTACTTTGAGGTAACGCTTAAAGCGCTTTGAAATCTAACTAATCTGATAATTAACTGTATTGCAGGCTTTCTACAGCTACTTGTTCTCAGTCGGACTGATATTCTTCCTTTACGTGTACACCTACCTGTTAATTGCAGATGTCCCCAAAACTGAATCACCTCGTAAGATGCGTTTGAAACAAGAGTACAAGTTTAATCAATTTTGTTAATTATTTAAACGCAGGCGCTCGCACTTATGAGTCCACAGTCAACAAGAAAATTAGCGAAACTGATCGTTCTCACGCCTCAATTTTTGTGCGAATCTTGACTCTTTGCTTTGGTCTAGGGGTCATGATTTACTGTGGACTTGAATTTGGACTTTACATCGAGACACAGTACGCAACACCTGGCAGTGTTCTTCTTGGTAAGTAAACTAAGTTTGCTAACTTAAAAATGAAGTAACTTTATTTTGTTTTTTACAGGAATCAATCCGATGCTACAGGCTGCATTCACCTTTGTTGAGGCCCACTTCATCTTCACCTACTCCAAACTGGTAATCAAGAAGTTCAAGTTTCTCGCTCGCGTCGGAATCATGCATTGCTCAGCTGTAAATCTCTGCGTGTGGCTTCGAGTTGTTGGCCACGAAATTTTTCACGTGAGTAGCAAAAACAGGCGCTCAAACTTCACTGCAGGCTAATTTACTTTGTGTATAAGGAACTAAAGATCAACCCAACGCACTTTGGTGGATTTACTATTGGGAATGGCACAAAAATTGAAAATGGAACTTCCTTTGAAAATCAGCTGAACCAGGACTCCATCATGGGATCAATCATGTCAAGTTCGGTCCCCTATTTGTATCCGCTAATTGTGGAGTACTCTTTGCTCGCTTCGACTTTCCTCTACACATCTTGGTCAGCGATCGGTCAGCGGTACACGATGGTGTACGACGACAACTGCCTGTCGACGGTTTCCTGTCAAAAGGGCAGCACCTCTAGCCTCGCTACTCACAACTTTTCCGCCTTCAACTGCTTGGGCTCGAGCAAAGGTCTTTTTGCTGGTTTCTTTTTTCTCGGTAAGTGTACAACTCCTTTTCTCTCTCNTCTTTTTGCTGGTTTCTTTTTTCTCGGTAAGTGTACAACTCCTTTTCTCTTTCAATTATNGCAGCACCTCTAGCCTCGCTACTCACAACTTTTCCGCCTTCAACTGCTTGGGCTCG